ACTAGAGATGCACCGATCCGATACCAATATCAATATCAGTATCGGTATCGGGAAGAACTTGTGGATCGGGTATCGGTGACAATGTGACCGATCCATGACTGGGCAGATCTATTCACTCTGACTCTACGCTTTGTGCTCTGAGTGACGTCACGAGCCAGCATCCTGACTGAACAAATTAAAGTTGTGTTGGTTTTACATGTTTGACCGAGCTGTGAAGATCTTGGTGTGTTTGTGCCGTTCTGGTGCAGAGTTTTCAATAAATTTGTAATTCAGTAACATTCATGTCTGTGTTTAACAAAACAAATGTTTTAATTTAATTCAGCTCTGGGTTTGTAAACTCAATCATCCAGGTAGACAACAAAAATGGCTAAATCATGTCATCTGGACCTGTTTCAGAAACGGGTCCAGATGACATGATTTAGGCATTATTGTTAATTCAGCACTGTTTTTCTGTATCAGATTTGTATCGGATCGGTCGAGACTAAACTGCGGGTATCGGATCGGCTCGGAAGTGGAAAAAGTGCATCGCTGCACCCCTACTTTAAACCCATTCATCAACAGCCAATCAAAAGGCACCAAGCAATAAGCTTAAACAGCATACACATTCCAAATGCTCATTTTCTTCAAACAGCAGAATCACAACTATATTTCACAGAATCAACTCAAGCATCAAAAACAACTTTTGGATTTAGTTTCAATTATATATATGGCTCCTACACTATCAATATGTACCGGTAACATACACAAATACGTACAGTAAACTTTTTTTTTTATCCTCAACAAATCCTCAAATGTTGTTTGGTGGCAGGAAGCTCGTTAATCTGACAAAAAGTAAATCCATAAATTAGCCGCAGCATATAAACCGTGGGGTTCAAAGCCTGTGAAAAAAGTAGCAGCTTATAGACCAGAAATTATGGTAATCGATTGTGGTGTCCCTCATAATCTGGACTGGCTCCAAAAGGTAAACACTTGTAGAAGTAAATCTAATAATTGATATCCAGAAGTGTTGTTGAAATCCATCCAGAGGTTTGTGAGATGTTTGGCTGAGTGTCAGACCATCAAACATGCACATCCACAAAAACAGAAGTAAAATCTCAACCAGTGCTCCCAGCTTCCTGTAATCAAGTCAAAACAAAGAGCAGAAGAGATTTTTCTTGTTTTCCTGAAGAACGGTGTTTTCAGTAACCATAAGAACATGTTGGCACATTCTTCAGTAAAGCCTCATTATGCACGCTGCCCTCAGCACCATCTTCAAACATTATGAAGTCTGCAAAGCTTGATTGGTCTTAATTGGTCCTGATGAACATGAAGTGGCTGATGGCTGACTCTGATAGCATCCACTGCACGTTCATAATGATCTGACTGAACTGCCTCTGGTTCAGGGACACTTGACTTCAGACTGCGTTACAAGAAGCCTGCACCTGCAGCCAGTGTTGGAAGAATCAGTCGACAACACGGAAGTCGTGGAGGGAAAGATCAACATCCACATGAGCGTATATTTGTGCACTTATGCCGTTTCATGTTGGCAGAGGGGACCAGCTGCTTGTGCTGGCTTTAAGTGCATCCTGATCCTGATGCGTGGTGTATTGTGACGAGACATTAGCCCATGCACACATGCACACACACCCATAACCATAAATGTGCCAAGTTATGAGATCACAATAGCAGCAATTCATTTCCCAGGACGTCCACCACAATGCCCCGTCAGAGGCACGTCTTCCAGGAGCACCAGCTCAGCCGTGTGGACCATTAGTGTTTTGTAAGGGCTGCAGTGTGCTGAACTGTATCTGGGTGTTTACAGGAAAAGGTGCAGTCCTGAGTGAAATCAACGTCTTTGTCTGCTCTTGTTTGCACACCTGAAAGCATTTTGACCAGAAATGGGTTCGCTTAAAACAGCTCAGAGCGTCCGCTGTGTGTTTACTGACACATCAAGCAACATGTAGACAGCCGATGGCACACGCTGAACACACACGCTTTATCACACAAGTTCAGCGTGCGTCAGTGTGTGCGCTTCCCTAATTGGCTCCTAAGCCTCTTAAGTCACCACAGCCTCTCAAGTGGTGTAGGGCCGCCTGAATAAATAGGACAAACAGCTCCATCTGAGCACCAGCAGCTGCAGACGGTGCACTTCTGCTGAGTGCATGGAAAGTTACTGAGCTCATTGTCTGGAAGCTCGTCCACTCCAAAAGCTTTTTATTTTTCCTTAAACGTTCCTGTGCCTTTTGTTAATTTGTCGTTTCTAAAACTATCTCTGTCAAACATGACACCATTTCTAGAAATGTTTTCATCCACACAAAAGAGTACAAGGCCACCTGAAATACTGTAGTAAAACTACTAGGCCAGTTTGTGGAGCAGAAACCTCACTGATGGTAAATGGACTGTACTTATACAGCACCTTTCTTTCTAATCAAGACACTCAAAGCTCTTCACAACAACCTGTGACTCATTTATCTCCACACACACGTTCATGCAGCGCTCGAATACATCACTACACACTACACTGCTGCACATCATTTCTAATTAATAAAATTTAATGAGTGAAAAAATAACCGAACCGTACACACGTATATATATATATATATATATATATATATATATATATATATATATA